TGTTCTAATCTGTGTCTATGTTGTTGTCAGTGATGTATTGTCTTATCTTTTTTAAATGCGTTTGTCATGTGCTGCAACCCATTTTCCCCTCGGGGACAAATAAACGAATACGAATACAACTTATATACTAACAAAGCACTTATATACTAACAAAGCACTTATATACTAACAAAGCACTTCTATACCAACAAAGCACTTATATACCAACAAAGCACTTCTATACCAACAAAGCACTTCTATACTAACAAAGCACTTCTATACCAACAAAGCACTTATATACCAACAAAGCACTTCTATACCAACAAAGCACTTCTATACTATGAAACCTGATGTACTTATATGATTCTGCTTTCTTCAAGTTTGTATCTTCTTGGTCGAATGCACTTATTGTAAGTTGCTTTGGATAAAAGCGTCAGCTAAATGAAATGTAAAGATGTCTTTAGATGTTAAATAAAATAAACGCTTGAGATGAAGAGGCAAAGAGGAGAAACACTGAGAGAATGAGAAGTATTCTTAATTCAGAAAAACTAGAAGAAAAAAAAAAAATCCCTTTTAATTAAGGAGCACTTAGACATAGAACGAATGATCATTTTAGCTCTCCACTCTGTATGGAAACTGTAAAGCTGATTAGTGCACCAGCTCTTAAATGAGCGTGTAAAGCCATTTTGAAAATTACAGACGTATACCTGTACATTAGCAAATACAGACATATAGTTTATACAAGGGCCGGTGCTATAACATACACAAACACACACACAAAGACACACCTTTATATGGCCTCCGTAGGTGTCGTGGCTGAAGAACTGGCACGCGTTGTTTCCGTAGCACGAGCTTTCCATTTCCCCGTAGATGAGAATGTTTCTGGAGAGCAAACCCACTTCGGCTCGCATGTCGACCCCGTCTAAGATCTCTCCAACGTGGTTATACAGAGGCTTCCCTGGGCACACACACAGGTAGATTCTTGGTCATATGCCAAGACTAACTGACACTTCACAGGAAAATCTGATTATTTAGTATAATTACAAATGTCAATTATTGCATTCCATTTATTTAAAATGAAGCAGATGAAAACTTAAACAAGTAATTTAATTTAGCTGAATAACATAACACAAATTAGCCCTTGATTCTTGTGGAACCTTTCTCATAGACTCAAACCCTTTCAGTAAAATACTTAATGCTCCAATGTGACGTGTTAAAGCAAACAGGAAGTGACATTTAAGCTCAACTAAGGTATTTTATTTCTGGAAACTGTCGGTCACAGGAAGTATGCCAGAAAGCAAACGACTACCCACGCTACAAAACCAACCAACCAAAATAATACAAATGTACTACAGTAAAGCAAAAGTAATCAAATACATATGAACACAAAATAATCAACTGTTGATGATGCAGTGCCCACAGGCTGCAGCTGCCAATGATAACACACAGCGACGCTCCGGTCACGGCAGAAAAACTAAATCTAGGCACACAAACACGCCCTTATCTGCAGGAAGGGAGTTGGCGCTTGTTGTCAACAGAGGAATGACGTTAGGAAATATATTGATGGGGAGATGGACAAAAACTAACTAACAGATTTCTTTGAGAAGTCTTTGGAGAAGCAGAAGAAAAAGGAAGGATGTGACGTCGAGGTGATGTTTCAAAACCACCGTGGTTATTATGAGATGAGGTTATTAAAAAAAACATAAGCTGGCAGCCTCTTTTTAGCCTGCTCTTATCTTATATTGCTGCAACAGCTGAACAGGAAATTATAGGTCTCTGAGGATTAGAAGCAAATCTGATAATCAGATTTATTCTCACATACACACACACACACACACACACACACACACACACACACACACACACACACACACACACACACACACACACACACACACACACACACACACACACACACACACACACACACACACACACACACACCTTCCTCACCTTGTATCCTGACCTGCCTGCTGCTGCAGTGAGAGCAGGGCAACAAGGTAAACTCTTCCGCCTGATGCATGGAGTAGTCTGTGCTGGCAACTACAATCTGATCCCCGGGTTGCCAGGTCTGCTGCACTTCATCCTGCAGGTTCAGCAGCACCTGGTCCACAGCATCCACCTGGAAGCCTGTGATGGGGAAGCCTGGGGAAGATAAGGAAGATAGGAAAACTGAAATCATGTAGGACAGAATTTTGGTGCCTTTTTGATTATATTATAGAATTTCTTTCATAACACATTTCGCGGAAATAATATTACACTAGGATCAGCCCATTCACTTTTAATTCCAATCAAAAGGGTAGGAAACAGAATGGGGATAAAGGAGAAAAAAGGATATTAAAATGTGATTTGTTTCTTCTGCATGCATAGAGAATTCATTTATTTACACTGAATAGAAATGAAGAATATTGCTGCTGAATAGTTTGATAAGCACTGAGAGATTTTGTAAAGCAATGAAAATAAATGATATGAGTGTGTCGAGCAGTTATTAGTCGCAGAGGGCAATATCTCACCAAATAATAGTAAACCACAGTTTGATTACACTCGTTAATTATAATTGTTCACTTGAGAGTTGAGTGACTCACTGACTGTCAAAGTGAATATTATTAGGTGTGCACAAGGATGCCCGCAAAAAAATTAAACAGTGGGTGTTCTAGTAGACCTGGTATTTGTCATAAAGTCATAGTAACAAAACCCCCGTCACCTACTCAGGCACAAGAATGTCTTTCATGTTCAGATGATTGATCTGTTAAGCAGTCGGCCTGCGATAAACCCCATTCTTCAACATGACACACTTCTCCAAACCCTTTACCACTTCAAAGCCAGAGGAACCTGTCCATGTCACTTGGACAGCTTAGTATTATTGTTTATAGCTTAGACTTGCCTCCACAACAGGATATTAGGTTCAACTCAAAAAGATGGACCCTTGCTGGATATTTTTTCTTATGGCTGTTTGAAAAGCTACAATCATAAGCTCACCGGTCTTCCACTCGCTGTAGGCGGTGACGGAGAAGTCAACTCCATCGACGGTGGTGAAGTTGCGCCTTGCCAGAGCTCTTCCTCCTGTGTTGTGGTTTTCATGTTCCTTGACGTCCTCTGAGCATGAAGCGTTTCCTCCACCCACCACCGAGACCAGAGCCCACGCCTGCCTGGAGAGAGCAGAGGGCCAAGGGGGGAGAGCAGAGGGCCAAGGGGGGAGAGCAGAGGGCCAAGGGGAGAGAGCAGAGGGCCAAGGGGAGAGAGCAGAGGGCCAAGGGGAGAGAGCAGAGGGCCAAGGGGAGAGAGCAGAGGGCCAAGGGGAGAGAGCAGAGGGCCAAGGGGAGAGAGCAGAACGTCAATTACAACAACTACTACAAGTACTACAACGTCAATTACAACAACTACTACAAGTACTACAACGCCAATTATTACAAGTACTACAACTCCAATTACTACAAGCACTAAGGCTGCTTGATTATGGCAAAAATCATAATCTAGATTATTTGGGTCAATAATTGATATCACGATTGTTAAAAACGATTATCCATTTACTTTGAAAACATCAATTTATTGGAGAAAAAAATGTGAACAGTATGTTTTTAACAGTTGATTACCCTGAACTTTAAGTATAACTCAACTGAAAAACCAATAAAGAAAATAATGAATAATACAAAAAAATAATAATAATACAAAACAAATCGTTATATTTCGATTACGTTGTTTTCGTAATCGTTGCAAGCCATAATCGTAATTGCGATTAAAATAGGATGAATTGAGCAGCCCTAATACATAGACTAGTTTAACACATCGTCATCAAAGAACAACATATGGACCAGATTCAGGGCTTAAGCTTTGAAACACATTCTTTCTGAATGATGAAAATAATTGTAGTGGAAAGTAAAAGCAAACCAACTGTTAACAGTTATTAAAGGTTTATTATCAAGTCGCTTGGCTCAGCATTTAAATGGCAAATTCACCCTCAGCAGCAGCAGCACTGCAAGGTTTGTGAGAAATAAATCTTATTGCGATTATTTAGAGAGGTTTTGCAATTGTGATGTGATTTACGATGTAAGAGGAAAGAATCATGAAAGCATCCGAATCCTGCTTTTGCTTTAAAGGTTTATCACAATATTAATAATATGTTTTTTAAAGAGGACCCGTAACAAATAAAAATGTAGATAAAATAAGACAGTAGAATAAAGTGAATGGGCTGGGATAACTGGAGCACCATCAAACTTAATTCATCCTTTTAACAAATATTGTTCTCCCTGCAATTTGGATATTGAATTAGTACATCAATAACATTGTGATTCATTGAGCAGCCCTAGTCAACGGTCCCTACTGGTTCTTTGCTGATGTAACTGCAGTCTCGAGTGGAAGCACCAGAAGTAGCGGCCCAGTCTCAGTGATTGAAAATGTAAACAGGACATTCAAATCCAGTGATCGTAATATCTTACAGATGAGACAGCTGGTCCGATAGAGGGTGTGACGGGAACTGCAAAATGTTGAAGTTGAAATAAGTCACTGTTGTATTGCCCTGAAGGCACAGCAAATGTCTGCAGTGATCCTAGCGCAGGTTGGGACGGGGCCGCTGGATATCATGAAATAAATAATACAAAAGGAAAGGGGAAAAAACGAAAAATAGAAAGAGTGTCTCAGAGGATTAAGGGGCCGGGGCGTACCTGCCACATTTCAAACGGAATTCAAATCCAACTCTTTAGTTTTACTCCAAAGCCTCTTTTCTCAATCCATTGCAAACTATCTGATAACGCAGGAATGTGAACAAATGTATAATAAATGATTAAAATGATTAAATGAGAAGGAGAGGCTGGAATCATTTGATCAGAGGAGCTTAAGGGTGTGGGTGGGGAAAGGGATTGGGTGTGCTTTAGAGGGTGTATGACCTAAAGGATGACACGTGTAGCCTTGGAGGTTTTAAATGTCATGTCGTTAGCTTTTAAGGAATAACTCCAAACAAGCCAAAAGACATATTCATGTTCAGTAAACCAAATTCAGCTTTATAATAAATAAGATGTTATCTCCAGTAACACCAGCAACTCACAGCACATTTGAAACATTGGAGAGCTATATTTGGATTATTTAGCCATTAGCTCAATGGGGTTTCACCTGGATAAATAAAGGTTTTGAATTGAATTGAATTTTGAAAGTCTCCCTGAATATTAACAGTAGTCTGCGATGCTATCAACTCCAACAAACCCTGTGTAAATATTGATCTGTTCATAATGATTGCTTTCATTGGCATTACTACAACCTACACACGTCCTCTTGTAGATGAAAGAGCCGCTGTGATGTGATTGGACACCCCACTGACACACAAACAGGATCCATCTGGGCTCCACTTTCACTGCGGCCCAGTGTGTGACGTGTGCAGACACAGCGGTCATTTCACTTTCTTCCTTTCCCCATAAATCCTTGATTTGATGTCCACTTGCATTTTAACAACCTCATTGTTTTACAGGAAATAGCAAACGCAGACCGGCATGATCACGTGTGTTTGAGTTTGAGTGTTTTCCTGAGAGACAAAGATTAAAGGTGGAGAAGGTCAACAGACACGAGGCAGGAGCCAAGCCGTACATGTATCGAGGGCAGGAAGGAGGGTTGATGCTGAGATGAGCTTATATAAAATCAGGGGTATTCGGACTGAAATGTGGCTTAATGGTTATTTAAAATCAATCATAAGTTACTGTATATATCACAAGGGTTATGAAAAGGCACTATGGCTGCACAATTTGGAAAACATACACTGATTGTAATTCATTCGACTGATATTGCAATTGCAAAATATATGCGATATTAGATGTAAAAATTATTCACATTATCATTAATACAAATTCTATAAATGATTATGGCGTAACTTTTTTAAAGGATCTATACCAAACATATAGTTTTCTTTTCAATTGAGTCTGTAGCTGGGACTTCTCTGCAGCTTCACAATACGGTAGGGCTGCACGATATATCGTGTCGTGACGATTTATACGCGATATGGGCATGCGCAATATTCACATCGCAGGACGTTCTTTTTTTTACGTGCGATATTAAGTAGGCAAATTAACTCAAACACGTCATGTTACAATTATTTTGCTGCTGGCTACAAAAGGAAAACTCGCTCGGCTCTCATGTCAGGGGTACTTGAGTGACAGGCTCTGCATGCACAGCAAACCACCAATCACAATCAAATCTCCAAAGCAAACGGACCCCGTGATTAAAGGTAAAAACACTGAATAAAGTCGTTTCATGTGTTTCTCCAGGGCAGTTCGGCGCTGCTAACCGAGCTAGCTCAGCTTGTTGCTCTGATAATTTAAGATCCAGACGTCCGTGACTAAAATCCTTCATCCGGTTAAATATAGTTAGAAAAATACCAATTGTATAGCATTAAAGTTCAAGAAAGGATGGTTTGCGGACAAAAAAAACGGTCTTTTCTTCAATTCCTGTATTTTGTTCATATTGCGATATATATCGCAGGGGGAAAAAATATCACAATATCAGTTTTTTGCAATATCGTGCAGCCCTACAATACGGTAAAGTATTCGGATATTTTCACATATTTAGCCTTTTCCAAATATTGTGCTAACTGAATATTGCGCTTGTCCGTCCTAAAACACACCCAGGTGTTACAGCTAACGCACATTAACAAAAAGCTTGGAACAAACAAGTAACACAAATCAGTTTCAGGTACATTCCCTGCTGTTTGTTCACAACACGCCATAACAGTCATTAAGTCATCGACACTCCATCAAGACGCTCCTAAAGGTCACATGCCTTTACCACCTGACTCTTTCAGGCTAAAACCACTCAGCCTAACATTAAGTGACTTTAACGAGACATTAAACTGCATGCTCTCTCGTAAAATGTGTGCCATGTGTTTCCTCACAACCACAGGCAAATCCACAGAAAGCCTCAAATCCCCACTCCAATAAAAGTGACATGATAAGAAGAGAGTGCCTAATGTTAACTTATTGGTGCACACACACCACAAACACCTCTGAACATACTGTATGCAGGGCTTGGCTGTGTGATCCATCTGAGATTTGTTTAAAGACTTGGCACCCAGCCCGTAGGTGAAATGTGACACTGGAGAATATGGCGTAGCACTTGGCTTTTCAGTCAACCAAGGACAAGACTAGCCCGAGCTACAAATAACTTAGAGAGAAATGCTAAACACTTTAAAATAAATGTTTGAGTGGCGGTAACAGAAGACCTAATGTAACCCTAACCCTAACCCTAACCCTAACCCTATGTAAGGTAAAGTCAGGCTATGTGGATAGGGTGACGCTCAAACCTATAGTATCCGTCAATTTTCATTATAAACATAACATTTCTTGGATCGCCACATTTTGCGCAAATCCTGGAAACTCTTTGACCGTGAGCCCATTATCCTGTACGTGCTTCCTTTTCAGGCAGAACATGATATAGCAAAAACAGGAAGAGAAACAACTTCAAAACAATTCAAGGGAACATTACAAATGAAAAGAGACATAGATGAAAGAGGACATTCTCCAGGGAGGATGGACAGAAACAGAATGCTGCTGCTCTCACTCCATAAAGTGTGGGGTCTTAGGAAGAAAAACACATTAACAGCCTTTATCAGCCCCAGGAGACCAAGAATAAACAAACACTCCCAAACACTAACAAAGACAACACACCATGGAGAACCAACACAGCAGGGGAACAACCCCACTCGCACATATTTGTATACAGACACGCTCGTCAGGGCAACAAAAACTAGAAGTACTATTACTAAAAAAACACCATTAACAAGTCGACACTGGAAAACTAAAACGTTGACTTCAATTGAATGTATTATGTAGACAGATTTTACATTACTGTATTAGGTTAGTTTAAAGCAGGGGTGTCAAATTCAATTTCATCACGGGTTGCACTCAAAGGGCCGGTTGTAACTTTAAGACTATATACAAATACATATATAAATATTTAATATAAAAGTAATGTATTATATTACATCATTGCCTCTGCATTATTATCGGATAGAATAATAACTTCATAACTACGGTAACTAGGTCTGAAAGCAGAAGTCTAGGGCAAATAATTGCAAGTATCTTCAGTGAGAATGTCACAAAATGATTTAAAAAAAAAAAAAAATCCCCAAAAAAAGTGACGATTTAAAAAAAAAGTGACATTTGGAAAAAAAAAGTAAATTTGAGAAAAGGGCAAATTCTGAGAAAAAAGGGATATTTAGAAGAAAAAAAGTCAAATCTGAGAAATAATTCAAATTTGAGATGCATTGTGCTCCATGTATGGGCAACGTGCTTCTGTAAATCTCCATGTAACCGTATAACAAACATATTCTATTCTTTGCAAGCTCTTGTGGGTCCACATAAAATGAAGTCGCGGGCCTTGAGTTTGACACCCCTGGTTTAAAGTAATAATAGTACGTTTAAATATTAGGTTCAACTTAAAATGACTGCTTTCATTAACCTATTACAATTATGTGAAACGTATTGACATTATACACCTAATTAAAAGTCAACGTTTTGATAATAATAATTCATTCAATCTACCTGTATTTGAGATCGTAGACGAAGCTGCTGCCGAGCTTCTCTTCAATGGCCTTCTTAGTTTCGTCCAGAAGACTTTTGACAGCCGAGTCTCCCACAGCCAGCGTGACGATGCGGCCCTCGGGGAGGGTCCGCAGCAACTGGGTGAGCCGCCGGCTGTCATTTCGGGAGTCGTGCGTGTCGTAGCGTTCGCACAGCAGCACAGCAGCCGTGTCCTGGTCCACCACGCGCAGGTTGATGCCTCTGCTGAAGTTTCGCAGGAAGGAGTAACCCCCCGTGTTCAGACCGGAGGCCGGGACACTTCGGGTCAGCAGAGACCAGGACACCCTCTCAGCACCGTGAAGCTCCAGAGTCCCACCGCCCATCACACCTATGAACTTGCGGCCCATGCCGGGCACTGCAGCGACCGCCTTGTCGTCGGAGCGACCCACCAGGGCAACTGTGGCGCGGGAACGGTAGCGACATTTGGGAGCCCCGATGTGAAGGGCTCCACCGTCTTCTATGAGGATGTGGCGGGTCCTCAGGGTGATGTTTTTGGAGCCGTCAGCGTTGTCTGCAAAAACGACCTTACCTGGGAAGAGGCAGAGAAAAACAATATGAGTTATTATATCCAAAAAAGTTAAAGAGTTCAATCAGATGTAAATGTTTGTTTTGTCCTCTCTGGGCTGAGGAGTTGAAATCCTTACTTTACTTGAACGATTGGTCGTTCAGTTTCCAGATTTTTTTATTTTTTTTTTGAAGACTAAGAGCTAAGAGCATACTTTTTTTAATTAAAAACTGTCAGTGGATATTTGATACACAAGTTCTTTAGGTGAAGTTTCATAAAGAATAACTACAGAGTAGAACTTAATATGAAATATAATTTAGACAAATATCCCAGTGCAGTCATGCCTAGAGACTGGAAGGTTTATTGCATCTCCAGAGGACAGACTCTGGCGTGAAAGGACGAACTATGGGTTCTTGTTTTTTGTCTAAGAGGACATAAAGGAGATATTTGTTTTAATGACCTCCATTTATGTTGATCTCTGAAGGACTATGAAAAGCAATGTTTTATTTAAAGGTCACATGTCGTGCTCTTCCGGTTATTACCCGTCCCCTTGTGTGTTATGTAGCTTTTTTAGACACAAACCCTCAAAGTACACCCTGTGACATTTCGCTGTCTCGCAGACCCCACGCAGCAACCAGGAAACGACACCAGTAATCCAGCTCACACTGTCCGCTCCTCGAGCCTCAAAGGGCGGAGCAGCGAGCCCCGCAACGTCCCGCCAACACGGCACCCAGACCCCACGCAGCATTCTCATCTGTTTGTCCTTACTGGTGTCATTTTTCTGGTTGCTAACAAACGCCATTGTAACACATAAACACACATCAGAGCACACTGGGCTCACAGGGAGGGGGGGGGCAGGAGCTCCAACAAGCCGTTTAGGACAGAGAGTGATACATACACATACTATACAGAGATGCTGTATGAGAAACCAATGTGAGTTTGGAACATTGCACAGTATAAATCTATTCTAGTAGACCTCAACAATGGAATTATGATCAGTAGAAATGGCCATGACATGGGATCTTTAAAGAATTGGCTGAAATCAAATGTTTCACCGATGCAAATATATTTTAAATCCCATAAGATTTAGCATTTTGTGTGGATGACACGAAAATAGCGAAGAATCATCAAAAAGCTGAAGCTGAACTCCTAAACAATGTGACTTTATTTAATAAACGTGCGTCCATCAATGCTGCTGCGTGCTCACCTCCTGACTGGATGGTTATTGAATGGAAGGTGGCAGAAGACTCCAGCCTAAACAGATGCCCACTCCTGACGATAACAGCCTTCTCTGGTTGGTGGCCTGGGCTCCAGCTGCTGAGGGACAGGTCGTGGTCCGGACAGTTTTCTGCAAACATGAGCAATCGGTGACAGTGGATATACTTAATTAATCTCCTACGTTAAATTCAGGAGGCCATTGGTAACATAAAGACATAAAAAGAAAAAAAAAACATAACATTTGAATACTGACCATCTAAAATGTCTCCACTTGAGAGACTGAGAACAAGAATGAGGGTGAGGAAGAAAGCCCCGATGGACACTCCGAAGCAGATTAAGCTGTTTTTTTTCTTCTGGAGGTTCTGGTCACGCTCCCTGCGCTGGTTCTCCTCTGACAGGTTGAACGTGGCTCGTCTCTCTGGCGGGGGGCCGAGAGGTTTCATCGGTGGAGGTGGGGGAGCTTTGGCAGGATGTGGCGAGCGCACTGGAGCCACCCGAACGGGGACATAACCCGGGGGCCTCGGGGGGTTTCCATTGGGCGGGGCCACAAAGACCGGGAAGCGGCTGGGGCCATCGCTCGTCGGCATGGTATCCGTGTCTGCTACCTGAGGAGAGGAAGAGGACGATGTGGATCAGGGCTACAAGAATTGGGAGAAAAAAACCTAATTGTTTGTGATATTACAATTGGGATATGATTCACAATATTGGAGGGATTGATCACTTTTTGAAGAGCGTTTGTACCATGAAAATATATTTGATTAGGTCATTAGAAAACGCGGGACATGTCTGCCCACCACAATACCGAATTCAGAATAATACTTACACGTATTTCGCCTGTAAGAAAATACGTATTTAAGTTTGATTAAATGTGAATCCCTAATATGGATTCACTGACGGTGATTCCAAACTATTCGAAAAAAAAAACATCCTCGAAGGTCTATTGCCTATTTGGTAATAACTTCAGATAATAACATTGTTTTAACGGCCTTTTAGGCTGAAGTAATTGGTTTGTTGTCATAAAGAAATTGAAATAACACAAAGTTTAAAGCAGAAACTGTGGGCAAGTAAGCTGGTTGAGTAGTAAAATAAAGTGGATGAGACAAACAAGGAGTTTAACAGAGAAGAGTTCAGACTAAAGATGTCAGGAGGGAGGAAGAAGACCTTCAAGAGAGCATAACGGGACAGTAAAAACCGTAGGGGGTGAAGGATGAAAAGGATGATTCTAGGGAAACAGCAATAACCCTCGGAGCACCTCGCTGCTGGACCTCCAGGTTAAGATCCTGGGTGTGGCTCTTAAACACACTGACTTCAATCAGAACCAGTGGGTGGCTGTTTGGCTCAGGCAGAGTGACATTGACTGCTCCTGTCCACAGAAAAGAAGGAGGTGAATAATGGATCGCAACATTCCTTACACTATGATAACACGGCCAAAACAGATGGCACCAATTACAGTAGAGGAGAGTGCACCAGCCCGATCCATACACACTTTATAATAATACACACTTGGGGGAGGTAGCACACATTGAAGCTATGGACACACACACATAGAAAGGTCAAATGGACAGACACCTGCAAACACGCAGGGGTAGAGGAAATGACACTGCGGGAGAAAAGGCTTAAATGGCACTTTTCTTTAACACTACAGCCTGTAGCACTTTATTAACACTACAGCCTGCTACTACATCAACAACAAGTCAGCAAGTTTTAGATTTCACGTGTTGGATTCTGGCCGCATCACTTGATGAATGAGACAGTTTTACGAGGTTGTTAAAAGTGAGAAACGGCAATAATTGTCTAAAACAGGCTCCTTTAAACCAAAGACACCCTGAGTGAAAGTGATGAGTTTCAGGCTCTAAATTGTCCGAGTGGGTATCAGCGGTTCACAGTCACACGATCCACTGACAGACACACTTGCTATTGTCCATTGTCTTGCCGAGCCAATTTGTCATCATTTTAGCCCAGAGCACAACTAACCTCTTCAACTGATAAACAAAGCAATGTACAATCAAGAGCTGCTCAACAAGGGGCTCAGTGATCTACGCAGTAAGAGCCATGGTCAAGAGCAGCTTGTTCCCACACTTCAACCTGCATCATCCATCACAGTGTCTGTGTCTGAACCAGAAGCTCTTCAGTCTCCATCTCAACCTAAACTGGAATGTCTTTAAGACAGGCGGTCTTTCCTTTAGATGTTCATATTCTCACGGCCTTTGCACTGCTTCAGACGGGAGCCCTGTGATGAGATGACCCCCCCGGACATTAGTCTTTATAAGCGTATCTCAAGCGATGTTTTTATTCACATTCCTGACCATAAAAGAGGGCCTGCTACTAAGTGAACTGTCAGAGCATCAAAGAGTTGTGGACTCACTTACCTTGGGGGTATTCGAATGCTGGAAATGACACTCTAAATCCATATAATTGTGTCCTGGGATTACATTCTTGGAAATGCTTTGTAAGCTCCAAGCCTCACAAAATTATAACAATGGTCGGATGAAGACGCCCCTGCTATTTTACTTTGGATTGAAAAATTGATGTCTATTTTACCATTGAATCACATGTGTTAGGAGGAACTCTTGATGCGCGGGAATCATTCCCAATAGCATTATCAAAGAATGAGACAATTATAGGAGTACATTGAACAGAATAAGAGCTCACAATTGGCACAAGATGGTGACTGCTGCTGCCATTATTTTGTGTCATTGTCTGGTATTGAATCATCTTGTGATTGTTGAGAATAAGAATATTGAACATGAGAATTACACCCGTCAGAAGGCTTCACAGCTGCTCTGCTTCAACATAAGCAAGGGTGCACTTATTGCCTCCCTCACTCTCATATTTCTCTGATTTCCGAGCTACTGAATCTCAAACAGATGTGGGGGAAACACTGGAGTCAAAGCGGGACAGACCATCCCGTTCCTTTGGTGTAAACCATATAGTTTGGCAGTGTAACAAAACGTTAAGCCACGTGTTCACTTTATTAACACAAAACTGTAGCTGACACAGCGCTGTCACAACAACACAAACACACTTACAGTACAGTAGTAAGTGAGCATTGATTGAGGGAGAATCATCTCACTTATGTTAATTAATGGTTATTGTTTTGGCCCTCCAATTTTCTTAACGATATATAAACACTATATTTTTAAGGGTCCCCTCGGGGTACTTTATAGCCAGTGATGGGAGAAGTACTCAGATCCTTTACTTGAGTAAAAGTATTAGCATCAAAATATACTTAAAGTACAAATGTACTCGTGCTGCACAATGGCCTATTTCAGAATAATATAAAGTAAAGATGAATTATCAGCTGAATGTATTTCAAGTATCAAAATTAAAATAACTTGTTAAGCATAATGGATCTTTTCATAGTATTATATTGTTATGTTTATTATATGTTCATGTTTTTATATATGCCAAATAATGTCAGTATTGTAGTTTGTCAATGTGGACCAAATGTAGATACTATAAAATACTGTGTAGATAGTAATACTGTACTGCAATATACCTTATCAGCATATAATGTGTTTTACATGTACAAAGTAACTGTGAGTGTTAAATAGATGTAAAAAGTACAATATTTGCCTCTGAAATGTAGTGGAGTAGAAGTATAAAGAAGCATTCAATGGAACTAAAAGTAAAGTAGAAACATGTCAAAATAGTACAACAGTACTTCAGTAAATGTACTTAGTTACTTTCCACCGCTGTCTATACTCTATAGCACACTTATCACTACAAAAAAGCGAAAGGATAACACATGAACAGAAGGTTAAGTTAGAGATATTAAAACAGATGTTGGTTCTGATAAAAGTGGCTTTTCTCCACTTTGACAGTCAAGGTAACTTAATCGTTGAGAAACGTAACGTTGGCAACGCACCGTTTACAACTGTTAACCGTTAGCATGGACACACAAAAAACAACTGGCACGTTTTAGTAACGTAATAACCCGAATACAGAGCCTGTTTACTATATAAAAAGCAAACCTATATTTAAAGTGTTCCCCGGTGAGTCCTCCTCCACCCCCAGCGTTGACAGACAGACACAATGTCCGGGACGTACCGTGGGTGAGACTGCTCCTCTCCCGCTCTGTCCATTCGCTCTCTGCCGAGCCTTTAGAAACGCTGACCCGGTGGTGGAGAGACAAATAAGTTCTCAAGTCTTCTTTCCTTGTCCCTTTCTTTATAGTGTCTCTTCACATGGTGTTTTTTCTGCTGATGGGCTGTCGTCCGTCCGTCGCTCAGCCCCTCTGTCCCACCGAGAGAAACCAGGCGCGGCTTGGAGGGAGGAAGTGATGATGCGTTCATTGCTCGTCGGGCAAAAACAGTGATGAGCCCTTGAGATGCATGAGATTGAGAATTCATGATAAGTATTATAAATGATCAGTGGTGGAAAAGATATTCAAGGTACCAATGCCACACTGCAAAATATTAAAAATTATATTTTGTGTAAATATTGTCTTTATTTTTCTTATATATTTGTATTTTGTGTATATACTGTCTGTTTTTTTAAAATATTTTGTTATAAAAGTACTATACTATACTTTCTTACTTACTTTCTGTGTCTTGTTAAACTCACCATTTACATCAAAGCAACTTCCTCATATTTGCAAACCTACTTGGTAACAAAACAGATTCTGTTTCTGAAGTAAAAGTGCGAATGGTAGGCTACTTAAGTAGAAGTATTTAAGTACGATTAGGAAAATGTATTTAAAGGGTAGGCTAAGGAGTACAAATACTCATTGCTTTAAAAAAACATTTTAAAGCAAAAGCAGTACATCTTCACATTCAAGAAGCTGGAACTGTGAAATATTTTTTAACAAAAAGCTTCTTCGCAAAGTTGTTGCCAACTAATTTTCTCATAATCCTCTAATCTAATGATTACTCCTCTTATCATGAGATGACTCCTGTGATAATATGCCAGCAAATGTCAACACGTCTAGTTTCCACACTGAAAGTTTGACAGTGATTTTCAGTAAATTGTGAGTGCATGGTAACAGAAAAAGTTAATTCATGGACAAGCGTACTTGTAACTCTGAAGCTGAAACACCCACTGGCTGTGTTTCGTTTTTTCATGTGATCAAGCCAACAATGAAGTCATATTATGTGAAATTAGTGTGTCTATCCCACATTTAAAAGGCTTTCTAAGAAGGAATGAATGAAATCCGAGGAGTCTTTGAACGCTTCACCACGACCACGAACTGAAGAGGAGGGGCTTAAACCTGAGCCACACTGCCGCCTGCTGGTTGTGTAGAGATGTATACTTTCAATGCAGTACCACTACTACTACTATTACACGAAATACAGATTTCTACAATAATAAACACAGATAATGTCACAAATACAGAATGGTTTTGCAGTGTCAGAGAAAAATTGGCATAAGCACCAAAACATTTAAACTGCAGGATTGTTGCCACTTCCTTTCTTTTAAACTCTGTAATCTCACAATTGTCTCGTCCTTTTTTTGCTTTAAAATATCTTTGCGGGAAATACAAAATATGCCCCAGAAGCACATGTTGCTGATGATAACCATAGACTGTATATATAGATAACACACAAGCTCATTTACATTATCTTAACTCAGATGGTGCAGTATTATGCACAACATACAGGAGTAACACATAGCCTTCATCCTCATATTAACTTACTTTAATCAAAAAAGGTAATATATTGTTTTATATGGAGGGCTGTTGTGTTGGATTCATTCATTAGGAATCACTCACTTACTCAATTATGCAAAAAGCACAACACAGAAAACCCACTTTAACACATTTAAAGATATTATTAGGACAAGAGAAATAAGAGTTTCTCTGAGACCTCAAACACATAGTAATGCCTGGGAAAGAGTTATTAAACCATCTTAGTTATTGTCATTGACAGAAAATACAAACCTGCTTTGTTTCGGTTCAGCCAAATGACATCTCTGCTATAATGAGGGCAATCTTAAATCCTGAGAAGATGCGCCGTTTCCCATAATTCAAGGTCAAATCACTTTTGGAGGAAGATTCGTACTGCTGTATTGTATGATGTCTTGTGAAAGAGCATGATATCACCTGTTACACGGCATCTCCAAAATACAATCCTGAAATAAAGAAACTTAAAAAGTTCCCCCCAAGAATAAACAGTTCAGTCAGAAATTGTGTTGCTTCTCAAATACCATTTTATTTTCTCTATCCACGTTATTACTTTATTAATATTGTTATTACATATATGTTCCTTTGTATTGAAATATGATATACAAAATTAATCAAATCAGAGATGACTTTAGTCAAAGTGACCTGTACAAAGGTTTTCTGAAAGCCAAAAGGATGGCCTAACTTGGTCTCATAAAGAGTTAGAGAATTAAGAATAATGAATAATGACAGCGGAAAGAAATGATGAAAGCTTGTGAAAGACAAAGAAATCAAAATGACGAGTACAAATATTATTTACAAAGTTAAAATCAAACAAAAAGCATAACCTTGTTTATAAGACAAATTAGTTGTGAAAAAAAAAGTTTCGTAACAGATCAACATCAAGCCATTTTGACTTCCTCTTTAACATAAGTGAGCAGACCTGAAGTTTACAGTAGCACCCATTTGCTCATTGATGAATTGTCTAACACAAACAGTATTTGACCCAGGCTAGTGTAATGCAGGTAAAAAAAAATACCCATAAAAACAAGTTATTGAGAGCTCTTATTAACTCAGTTTGTCACGCAGACTGAAAAAAATAAAGAAAAACTAGCCATTCTTGGCATGCAGTAGCACTTTGACATTTGCTTTTCAGGGTCTCAAAGGAGCCATCAGCGGCCGATTCTTTGTTTTAGCAGCTCAGCATTAAAGGGCAAATGAATGGACAACAATGGATCCAGAACTACCATGCAGACAACAGGACAAAAACAAACCGTCCATGATGGAGGCCTTTAATGCTGAGCCACTTACCCATTGTCTGTTCATTTTAAGCTTCTCAATAACTTAAAACGCAACATTATAATGTTTAACAACTTCCTGAAGTAACAATAAATCTACACCAGCTGCGTTAATAATGTGCACCATTCAGTCATGATTGGCATTAGTGGTATAATTCTTGAATAGAGCACAGACTGCTGTCACAGTAGTTAACATAGTCGTATCTTGTAAAAAAAAAAAAAAAAAAAGAGAACTTAAAGATCTGATTCAGGTACATAAGATCTGTAATAATAACTACATACATTATTTCACTTTATCTTCTCACCCAAAGACAGAAGAAACACTGTCAACACTGGGTTTCATATTAGCTACTATATAAAGGGGAATATTGTCATTTCCAAAGAGGTGTCAGATAGTTTCTACATGTATCTGTCCAGCATTTTATGTTCTGAAACATGTATCTACTACAGCGTAGCGGTAATAAACCTACAGCAGCAATGCTTCTGAGTTTACCTTGAAGAAGTAACTGTGGCAATGTTTCCAAAGGACAGAGTGGCAGGAAATAACCGCCATTGGTACACAGCCCGATTCTTTTAACCGAATACATGAACTGCATCATATTTTTTTAGATTTTAAGTCATTAAATTCCCCCAATTAAGACCTAACGGAGAAGTACGAACTGAATACAGCTAACCGAGCTTTTGAGATGTTTCTAGATGAATTTTGTACACATTTCTGTGTGTCCAACTCTCTGCTATATATTATACTAAACATTTGGCAACACTGGCACACAGCTAGATAATGTCAGTTCGTGTTGTACACCAGTGACAGCTGATACGTGCAAAAATCATGTATAATATAAAAAAATATAATAAACAGTAATCCAAAAAAGGAAATACACGGTGACTGCAGAGTGGAGGGCCGAACCCCAGAGTCAGATGGAGCTCGGCTGGGTTGGAGAGTCTAGTCCAGTTCTACGGCCTCAACATCCCTCCATAAAGGAACAGTGGGCCATGTCTTTCTTAAAAGGCAGCAACAAAATGTGACACTCTCTCTTACTGCATGTACACTCAGAATATCGTCTGTGCATTCTTTCATTCTCACACACAGGATGTGCAAATTGCAACATAAAAAAACAATTTTTTAAAGCAAAACAAAAACTGATGGGTTGTAAGTTCACAGCTGCAGCATGTGGAGTGGACGGTACTGAAAGGCTCTTTGCCCCTTTGACAAAAGGGAGCTTCAAGTGGGCGAGACGCTCGATAATGAGAGAAGACTGCCACCAACTCTTCAGATTACACAGACTAACACCACTTCTACCTGCATCACAACAAAGAAAACATTGTACCCTTCTCCATCTATTCTTCCCTCGCCGCCCTCCTTTCCAGTTTCTCTACAAGTTGACCAGCTCGTGTGCAACAAACTGTTTGAGTCTCTCCAGGTATTGTCCGTAGAGCTCCACGTCGTTGTGTCCGGCGCCCTCCACCCACAGCGGCTCCACGGGGCGCTGACAGCGCTCGTACAGCGCCAGGCCGTGGGAGAAGTCGATGACTTCGTCCTCCGTGCCATGGATCACCAGCACTGGGGACGTCACCTTGGAGATCTTGTCGATGCTTCGGAGTAAAAAGAAATAGAAAACAAAGTTAGGGAGTGTTGTTAAAAATACAGGCACTCAGAAAAAAGTAAGACCTGGGTCAAAGGTAAGAATGGAGAAACCAGCTCGAGTGCGCTAGAATTTGAAAGTACACAACCGAAAAAAATCTACCCCTTCCTTCAGACTTCCTTACAGAGCCCCTCCTCCAACACACACGAACGCGCACATGACCAATGAGGGCACGAGATAAGTTTGTGCACAGATGGAAGGCTGACAGGCAGGTAGGCCATCCAGTTATTTTAGCCGGGCCGGCTCAGATGATTGGTCGTGCTTTTTACAGTACTATGGCTTCCACAGATGACATTTTTGTATGGATTTATTGTCAAAGCATTTAATGTATTCATTGCTATCGGGATGTTAAGAGCATTCCATGGAATATAACAAAAAGTGTTTCTGAAGTGAATTACCTACCCTACCTTTAAGTAAATGTAATCAACAAAATCAAAAGAGAAATACAAATGTTGAAATTTCACTGAAAGAAGGAACAAGCAGAGCGAGTTTGGCCACCGACCACCAGAGGGAGCTACAGGAAATATCTTTAAAGCATCTCACTCAGAACACTCCCTTTATTGATTAGAAACATCTAAATGTAATTGTTTGCAAGCTTGTGTGTGTTTCTCTCTCTTATGCAAATACGTTCATGAAATACTGTATTTCTAAAAGCATGAGCTTGTCATGCGCCTTTCTGTGCAGGATTGTCGTGCAGGAGCCATCTGTCTCATGCAGTGCACTCACTTTGGGAAGGCGTCGAAGCAGTAGGTCTTCTTGGTGTCGGGGAAGGCCACTCTCATGCCGGAGGTGAGCGGGGAGTGGAGGATGACGGCGGCGCTCTCGTAGCGAGAGGCCAGGTCCACAGAGGGCACGGTGCCAATACTCTGGCCGTACACGATCACGTGTTCGGGCCGGATGCCATACCTGAGAGAGGATGACATTTAGTATCTGAATATTACACGTTTGCACATCATGTACAGGATCATTTACACGACTAAAAGCCAGATATGTTTAGTTACATCCTGCTTGCTTCACCAGACACTGGCATGTGTTCAGCTGGCAAAGTAGAACAGGAAATATTTTGGAATCGACAAGTTGAAAGCTGATTTTATTAGTTACACACAAGGTCTTCTTTTTACCGCTTTCATGGAAAATACCCTCACACTGCCAACTAATCCTCCATTGTTCCCCCATGATGCTTCACACACACACACCAACACCTGTGTGCTAACTGAGACTGACTCATACTCGGCTGAGAAGTCGCGCCGCAGTGACTCAGTGATTATAAGACCTCCTAAAACAAGTACACAGAGATGGGGAAACAGCCATGGCTCAGTGGCCGTCCGAACACAGAGGACCACCTCCTGCAGACTCGTGACTCAAAGGGAATCTAGAGCACGACTAAGGAAGAAAACAACAGATTGAGGTTGAAGGAGGAATAATACCAAGACATTCCACAGCTGATTATGGAGAACGTGACCTAGCAAGAAGCAGTCAGCTGACGACCTGAACCAGTCGGAGAACACTGCAGCCCTGTCTTAGTTTATCCTGTAGTACACAGCCACGAGCAGCCCCACTACAACCCTGCTCTACTCCATTATTACGATTAGGAGCACTACCATTACAGGCTTAAGCCTCTGCACTCCTGTAAATCACAGTGATGAACAATGAATGAGCACCAAAATATGACACGGCTCTGCACTGCTGGGAGGAATTATTATAATTAGGAACTCCATAAAAATAACCTTTGTAGAGAATCAATCTGTAATGCAGCACTTCTGCTATGAATGGGCGATGAACATGGAAGCACAGGGTTAGGGTTGTGTGTCAGTTGTGTACACACTCTGCACTGACACAGTCATTAGCAGGAATATTGGAACAGTTTACCGTCGTCGTGTCAGCTGGCCGAGCAGAGTATAAATAGGGGTGAACATACTGGCAGGGCAGAGAGAAGTGTTACTACAGACCGCTGTGGTGGTGAGAGCAACATTAACTCTCAAGGCTGGCTGACGGTATTATATACGCACCGGACTGAAAGCTATCTCTATCATTCAGCATCATGTTGCTGTTTAAGGGAGGTGAGGGACAGAGAGGACGAGAACAAGATGTCAAGGTCAAGTCAAATCGCCCTGCCTGATCCTAGAGAGAAGCAGCTTCTGACAAATCTGACAAAAATCTGCAAGTTAATTTCCTCGCTTCTTTCATAACATTCCTTGTTCAATGCAACGTTAATGATTTGTCATTAAGCCTAACATCACTGTTAATCCAGATCCCACTTTATGCGATTATTAGAACGGCTGTTTCTCTGATCCTAAAAAAGCTCAGGCGTTCTAAGCTTTGATCATAATCTTTTATACTAAGAACTCACTGAAGGCAAAATGTACTAAGGAGCGCCAAGAATGACCTAAACTCCTGACTTGTTGAGCAGACAAGTTAGATTAGCACATATACCTGGTTCATACAAATATTTTTTTAAAAAGTGAGAATTCAACCTTTCAAAATCTAAAGTAGGGAGTTTGTTGTTGCCAGGGTTAAGCTAAGCTAACAGAAAACAAAATGTAAGCCATGTAATAACATTATTTGAAGGCGATAGACTTCAAGAGCGGTGAACTCTCATATGAAAGGAAGCCAGACAAATAGCAGAACGCTTGCAAAATGACTGAACCATATTGCGATTCAAATTAAATGTTGGTTAATCGTGCAGCCCGAGAGATAACAGCCACGGTTTAAATAGGTTTCTAATATTAAGTGCGACCGGGGAAGATTAAGGTACATCTCTTTGTATAAAATGGTTGCTTCTCCCTTTAAATACATGTTCACAGTATTGGATTAGAAGATTTCTGAATGTGTTTATGAAGTAACTTCACAATAATCCTGAGGAGCACATCGCAATGCCTTCAGGCGTAACCGCATTAAAAGATGTAGCTTTCTTGTCTGTTAGCGGCAGTCTGTTATTTGGTTACTGTTATGAACAGCTTTATCTGTTTAGCCTTCAACCTCTTTTGCTATCATATTTTACTCGTGCTTATCTCCTTTTGTTTACACTTATCTAGTCAATGTTCTTTTCCATATCAGGCCACAAAAGCATGGTCAATCCTAACACACACAAACAGTCACCACACGGATGTCACAACCACGTCAAACTGGTCTAATGTCAATACAGAGAGGGTGAAGTGAAGCCGTTTGATAGCTTAGTCATCAGGGGAAGGGATATGAGATACTGCAACACACTTTAGCATGGTTTACTTCCATCTTTACACCAAACCAACAGGGGGCAAGTAGGAGTGTTTGCCTAGAGGACACAAGTTATTAATACAATCTATAATGCAAGGCTTGACCCTGTGACCTCCTGCGAACAACAAGGTCACCTCAACCTCTAACCCGTCCTGATGTCTTGGCACATTCAGGAAAAAGGAGGACATTTCTAGATCTGCAGCTGCACGTAAGACCGGGGCTCTGACAGGCTTTAACCAACCCAAGTCCACACAACACACAACTAACCCGGCCAACACAAGCATGCCATTTACTCCATTGCACTTCAGCTTGAATACACTCAGAGAGCCATAGCCAGCCAGCCATGCTCCATGGTTACGGCCCTCCCCCGACCCTTTATCAATTTAGTCTCCCGACACAAATCCAATGTATTATGCATCACATCCTCCAAGTCGTCGCCCTGTTCTGTCTCCGGCTCACCTCTTGCTCCCTGAACACTGGAAACATGCTCATCCCTTAGAAGTCACTATGAATAATATATATTTTAAAGATAATCTGAACATATGTAGAGGCATTTTTAACAGATTAAAGCACCATCTGCGCTACATAGAGGGGATTCCTTCACTGGAGCGTTCCTATGATCCGTTACTGCTTGGCACCTTTCTCCTTCAGGCTCTGCCAGTGCTCAGATTTGTCTTGAAAATTAATAAATGTTGAGATCTTAAAGCCAACACATGAAATGAACCCGTGAGTGAATTATATATTAAGATATGCGAGCAACAAGTATGTGGTCTGCAACATCACTAAGCCCTGTTGCCAAGGATAGTCAGGTGAGCGATTACACTCCACCCGACACACTTAACGCACACAGCACTCTTTCTTTTCTTTCGCCACACAAAGCCTGATATTTCAAGTGCTGTATGTGGATGCACACACATGGTGGGTAGCCTGTGTTCATTCATGTTTGTTAGAATTTCTCACCCACTAGGAAAAGTGAAGGTGCTTTGATGAGGATCATTGAGCAAGAAGTGTTTTTTTGATCGATGAGTAAAAAAAAAAAAACCTGTTTGAAAGCTCATTGGTTAAGGGTTGCTAGGCTACTGTCATTATTAGACAAGCAGGATTGATTGCTGCCCCGCCTTCATCTCAGAGGGAAAATAAAATAATACAGTGCCATTCATCCCACACGCACACACACACACACACACACACACACACCCCCACACAGACACACACAGGGGAAGGCTGTCAGCTAGGTCACTTCAGTCTTAAGTCAACTACCATATTTTTTAAAGTTGATTCTCTACAACAAATAGTAATCTGACTCATAAGTAAGTCGTGAGTGTGGATGATAGCCTACCGTGTGAAAACACATGACTCAATACATTTGATGAGTACACTCTCTTGCTAGGTGAGAGCGGGATGCCTCATCCACTGTGGTTAAACAAAAGCGCAGTGAAGGAAGTGTGTGGTGTTGTGTTTTGTGCCTGGTTTCGACTGTTAGCACAGCGTGACAGCAGGCGTGCCCTCGTGTCATCAAAGACTGTGTAGTGTAAAGCGAAAGACCGCGACTCAAGTGTCCAACACTCAAGAGAAGGAGGTGCTCCTGACTGCTGAAATCAGGCGGAGGAAAGAGACACAGAAAGCCAAAGCAGAGCCGGAAAGACAGCCTGGTTCGTCAAATATGAAAAAGGATCCGTACCCAGAAGTGGAGAGGCACACTCTTCTTCCAGAATGTGCGTCTGATCTAACATGAGAGACTCTCACGAGGGATGGTAGGCAGCTGGGCAGACTATCTGAGGCGTGGCATGAGAGGCTTTTGATGGAGATAATAACACATCTAGTGGATTCATGCTGGCCAGGGTCTAAAGGCTGGGTGTACTCCTCTTTCTATCTCAAGACACCCAATTAAGCATTCTGTCACAGCTTTTACGGCATCAGACACACCACAGAGCAGAGCCACCGAGGCAGATAACTACATGATCCTAGGGGCCTTATTAACACTAAGCTTTGGAAGGGCAAATACTTAGACTTATTCAAAATTATACCATGTATTTCTGCAGTCAATAACGGGTGTTCTTCAATCTAGACTACGCTGCTTGGGAGACACATGTCTTCGAGTCACGGACCCTACAACGGCGGCGTGCGTTGCCGCGCTTTCAACGCTTCTGCCCATTCACTTTGAATGGGGTGAACGTCACGATTGCGCCGAACTGCATGGTGGGAGCAAGCGTAGCTTCCTCTCGCGGTGCTCGCTGCAAAAGCAGAGCGAATGTTCTACTTTTGCCGCCTTGACGAAGGCGTCAGCCAAACGTAATCATATGCCAGTACGAAAGCTCTAGCCATATCAAACCGCGTGCTTGTGGTGTCTGGGGCGGATGTGATGGTATGTTGGAGTTCAGTTTGATTGGTGTGATGTCCGGTATTGGGAGCTTCGTGTGTACTGGCCCCATATGATTCGTACGTATTCTGGGACGTCGTCACCCCGCCGCCGGCAACTCCGCGAGTCACACGGGCCGCGGCAAAAGTAGACATTGCTCTGCTTTTGCAGCGGATCCCACAGCCGAGAGAATGCTACGCTTTTGCATCCACCATGCCAGCTTCGGCGACCGATAGATTCGGTGA